AGGGGGCATGGACATGTGTTTGCTGGAGCACATCCTTAATCTTCTCCCAACCATGATGGGTTTGGAGAAGGAAGCAGGTGGAGGGAAACTTACTTTTTGCTTACATGTTGTTTATGTTTGTTTGTGCATCTGATGTATGCCCTGCCCCTCCCCCCCAAAGTAGTAATCATTAATAAATAAAGGATTTGTGTTTGTCTGTTCCCAGAGAGGCTTACTGTCAAATGACGCCATGAAGGAAAGGAGGCCTGGGCACCAGGTGCAACCTTAAAAGGAGACGTCTGCACTGGTGCTCTCTGCAGTTTCTTTAGCATGGCGGCGTTTTTATAGCTTATTCGCAGGACTTACATTGCAGCATTGGATGTAAGCGTTTTCTAGAAAAAGACTTGCTCATTATGGTTGGATCCTTGTACCCCAACAGAGAGGGAGGGTGGCCTGAGGGACTGGGGCTCCTTGAGCACCCCCAATTGGGACACTGTGGGCTATGATCCAACTTCGCAAATGCCAATCTCTCCACCTTCTGTGATGATGAATAATCACTTTCCTGCTCTACAAAAGCCTTCTCTGCACTTAAGCCACAAATTTTGCAGTTCTTTCTTCCTTGGCATATAACTTAATTTGTTAAAGCTTATAAAATCATAAAGCTACAATTCCTTTCTCTTAAGTTAGCTGCCTTTTCTTTATAACTCGACATAAACACACACTTATACCATCCCATTGGTAAACACTGAAAAGGCTCCTACTTAATCTCTTATTTCTTCCTCATAAGTCACATTTTTCTTGAGCCTCCCTCCTGAACTTCTGTTAAAGTGTTGGGAGACTTAAATCTCGCAATCAGAATGTGGAAACCCAAGGCATGGGGTGAAGAGCCCTGGGGTCTTAACCCGAGGGCCGCCTTTCAAATCTTGCCAAGAGTGTCCTCTCCAGCCTCAAGACACACACTTCTTCCCAGGTCTATTCTGCCAGACCTTGTGCAACAAGGGAGGACAGTTAAATAGAACTTTGGGACTCTGGGCAATTGCAGTACCTCCCCCACCGCCCCACGGCAAGAACACCTCCTGGGCTGGGCTTTCAGCAGCGGAACAATCCCCAAAGGCCTGAGCTGAGGAAGATTACAGACAGGAGGAGCACGAGGGAAGACTCTCCCAGACGGAGCCACAGAGGGGCTGTGTGGAGCGCCGGCCATGAGGCTCCCCCAGGCGTGCATCTTGCAGAGGGAGCCCTCATGCCCCGACCCTCGGCCGTGACGCACTGGTTGGGTGACGTGCTGAGCAGCCAGCCGCACAGGCTGGGTGAGCCTGTGGGCGGGGCCCAGAACGGGCCTTCGGAACAGTTTTCTTGTTTCCCATCCCAGTCTTTGGGGCTCAGAAGCCAAACCCCTGAACTTGTTTTTTCTCAAACGACACTTGGCAGGGACTAGAATTGTTTTATGTGAGCTGTCTGGAGAAGATGGAAATGTGTGGTCAGAGGCCTGTATCTGCATTTCTGCATTCAGCCTTGCTGCACACGCATGTGCACACACACATACACACATGTGGGTTTTTCTGGTTTCCCAACCCCAGCTCCCAAGAGTGGCTTCTTTGGCTGGGGCTCCCAAAGGCCAGGTTTGCCTCTGCTCTGATGCCAGATGTCCGGACGCCCATCCCACCACCCAGGCGGCAGGCTCTGAGGCCAGTGCCAGTCCCAGGAACTTTCGTAGTTTTATGATGGCCTCCCCCCCGCTTTTTTCACACCCACTAGTCATTGGACTGAAACAGAAATGCCTTAACAGATCAATCTCCCAGACAGCACAATAGAGTGGGAAAAATTCTATAAAACCTCACCTTTGAATAGCCCCAAAAGGCCTCTCCTCCCTTTCACCTTGTAAACCCCCAGGATCCAGGCGGGAGAGGGGTGGGGGGAGGGGAGGCAAGGTTACTGTCACCCAGTGGCCTGAGGGTTAAGAGTTCATTGCTGTCTCCACTCAGCTTGGTCTCTAGGCACTCTCCTGGGAGGTGCAGGTTGCCCTTCAAACCACCAGGTCCCTGGGGCTTCAGGCTAAGATGGCTCTGGACGTCCTGACTTGGGTCTGACACCACCTGGGCACCTGTGTACGGAGTCCTTGCCGTGGCCAGGCACTGCACAGAGGGCTGCCCACTCTCTTTGTACTCCCAGAGGTGATGCAGCCCAACATGCCCTGGGAGGGGGTGCGTCGACACTCTCTCACCCTGCTGTACTTGTCACCTGCTGGCAAAGTGCAAGGGGCAGCATTCCCTCCTAGATTTCTCTGGAACAGGGTGTGGCAGGCCTTGTCACCTCAGGGAGGCCAGCCAGTGGAGGCCACAGGTCTAGGACACCTAGAATTCTGTTTGGCAGGAGACGTGCTGGTATAGACCGTCTTGTCAGGGCGGGTCCGCCTCGCTCAAGTGCTACGCAGATTCCTTCTCACATTCCTCATTCCCCCGCCCAGACAGCTCCATCTGCAGGCTGAGGAGGTGGCTGCCTAGAATGGAAAACTGCAAAAAACTGACCCTTGGATCATAAGTCAATAAGCTTTGCTTTCTAGCCAACCTGTGCTTACAGCTGTCTTTCGTAACACTGACTGCAGTAGGGCGAACGCCGTCCAAGCAGACAGCATACACGGTTCCCCTGCCCCGACCCTGGGCCCTGGAAGCTTTGCCAAGTGTCCAGGGGATCAGGGGAGAAAGCCTAAATGTCCCGGAAGCAGCTCACATTTCTCCTTTTTACACTTGGCGCCCTGGGTTCTGCCTGCTAATGTGACATCTCTGTACCTTGCTCGAGGTGAAGACCATTATTTCAATGTTTTTATTTGAAATTCCAGTAAAAATAAATGCTTTAAAACCCTTTAATCCTAAAATAGAGGCCAAGAGGGAGAAGCGAACCATCTTCTCTTGCCTTTCTTTCCTGTCTCCTCCCGCCTCCATTTCCTGCCTTGGTCAGGCCAGGGCTCCCAGCCTCTCCTATCCTGGCTGCTGCCCAAAGCCTCATGCCTGGTGCTGGGAGCCCGACAGTGGTGAGGGTTCCTGGGGTGCCCATGATGCCCCTACTTTTAAAGCTTAGCCCCTCAGGCTAACTCAGTGCAGAGGGGACGGGGCTGCCTGCAGCTGGCCAGGGTGTCATGGCCACTTCCCCCACGTAGGGCAAACAGTGGACATCAGAGGCCAGCCCACTGAAATCCGACCACAGGATGACCTGGCCTGTTTGCTTTGTCCTGGCCAACCTGCTCCGAGAAGGGCCAGGGCCTGGGCTCTAAGGGTCAGAGAACTTGCACTTCCGCAGCCCTTTGTTCCCCTGGGACAGTTGCTTGGCAATTAATCAATTAACTTGCTCAGAGGACATGACTGCCTCTCCTCATCCCTTTAATAAGCCTGAGAACCCACTGAGTGAAAACACTGCTGATTCTGCGCCTGAGTGCCTGGCCTGGCGGCCACCACCTGTCCCCACAGCGGCTCAGTGGGTCTAGGGTGCCTCACAAGGAGCAAGCCCGTCACCCACGGCAGAGTTCACCCACGGCAGAGTTCACCCACGGCAGAGTCCACCTGTGGGCGGGGGCCCACAGCAGCCCCTGTGGAATGACTGGTCAGTGCTGTCGCTGACAGCGTTTCAGGGTCAAATTCACACGCTGCTTAAAGGAAGCTGAAGTGACAGGAAGAAGGGGCTGGAATTTCTTTGCTTTCACTAGACCAGGGGACCTGTGGCTTGTGGGACCCTCTGTCTTTGTCCCTCCACTCAGTGAAAACGACTTGCAGGGAAACAGGCTCGTTCTCATCAGTGTACTCCCTATGCTCAGCCCAGGGAGCGGAGATCAGAAATTGTGCTAAGAAAGTGTGCCAAACTCCCATGAGGACAGGTCTTTGTGGTCTTTCCATGGTGACTTGTGTAGCTGACTAAAGTTCAAGTTTCCATGCCTGCCAAAGCAAGGGCCACCCGGCCCCGATCCTTACAGCAAACGATCAGGAGTGAAGGCCTCTCAAACCTTGGCTGAGTGACAAGATGAAGTGCCCGAGTTTATTACTGAATGAATGGCCTACACACCGAGAGGTATAGCGGTGGGGAGGAAAACCCTGAGACATGTGGACCCACATTTATATCCTGCCTGTCAATTAGTACACGACCCAGCGGATGGCGCTAAACCTGCCCAGGCCTGATCCCCAGTGGGAACCTGGGAAGGGCAATCTCCCTTCTGCACTGGCATAGCACATCTTGGCTGTGCAAAGCCCATCCTTCATCCCGGGGGCTCCCGAGTTCTCGGCAAACACTCCTGCCGGGACCAAGGCAGCTCTTGGAAGGTGCTACAGTTGTGCTGAGAAAGCACCCAAGTGGGGCGCAGCCAGTTTATGACTCAGACCCCATCACAAGTCCAGGGTGGTCGGTCTGCCAATAACCAACACCAAAGTAATTCATCAAACAGATGAATTACTTAAAAATATAGAGTTCTCATCTTACACATCTGTCTCCTTCCTGACTGGCAGCCCTGGCCACAGGTTCCTCTCCAGCCCACTCAGAAGACAGCGGAGGGGCGAGCAAGGAAAACCCAATCGGTCTGTGGGAACTCAGATGCAGTGAGGAACTGGGCGCGGCTGGAGCGCAGACAGGTGCTCCTCGGAGGCTGGGGACAACCCCTGACAGGAGGTGCCATGTCTGCTGACAGCATAGCCCCCCGCCCCCCACGAGACCAGCTCAGACTTGGGGTGTGGGTCCTGATGGCTCTTCTATGATTGACAGCCACCCACTGACCATGACCAGTGCTCAAACCAGAGGCCGCAGGAGACGACCAGCCATCTTTGTGCAAAATTTCACAAATGTGGCAGTTCGGCTTTGCCTCAGTGATTTCTAAAGGCAACAGTGTGGCTTCGACTTTCTGGAAAAACAAGGCCAAACCAAACTACTGGGCCTGCTGGTGCCCACATCCCTGGAGGCGGCGCCGGCGGTGTCCTTGGCCCCGGGGCCTGCTTTACCTCACAGGAGGTCAAACATACGCCGACCAGAGACAGGAGGCATCATTTATTCTTCACAGAAAGTAGCATTTTTATATTTATTCAAATTCGAAAATTTTGATTGTTTTACCAACTCGGTAAACACAGCACATAATCACATGCAGAGCACATATTACAGCACAGCGCAAACCCTTCTAGAATGGCGGTCACTGCTAAATAATTCTGAGGACCAGAAGCTTTGCACGAAGGAATGTGTTAAAGCCACACTTCACTCTGAGTAGGCCAGATGCAGTCAGGTGAACATGGCCCCAGAGCCAGGTGGAGCCAACACGGGTTCAAGTTCATTCTCGTGCAGCCCAGCCTATGCCACTGTGACAGCACCAACCGCTGTGGTTTCCCAAGGCATTTTAAACCTCCCTGCCCTTTGGACAGGTACCGGGAAGCTCAGTTTCTGTATTCCTTTTTTTGTTTTCCAACTTCCAACATTTGTGGGAAAAGCGACATTGGCATAGACAGCCCCCCTCTCCCCCTGGTGCTGCCTATGCCTCCGTGCAGAGCAGGAGCGCCCCTCGCACTCCGGGATATCGAGGCTGCCTTTTAAATCACTTAAAAAACCATTAAATTCAGAAGCAAACAAGTTTACAAAAATACTAACCCAGTACATTTTTATTATTAATATACCTTAGATCTTATCTTGTACTTTTATCAAAAGGTACTAAAATTTTGCAGAAAATCTAAATGATGGACATATCAATCAAAATAATTCTGAAGAATCTTCCTGAAATGACCCTGAGGAGAACATCAAATGGTGTTCACTGGTCTCAGTGTATAGAAACTCTGTGACTTTCTGGAATTACAGAAATATCCAATGTAGCCATATGCTGATGGGACTGATGCCAAAAGCTCAGCAGGTTTTTCTGATGTCTCAGCTACCTTTAGTTATTTGTGTGAAAGAATTGTTGCCTTTAACTCACAGACGAGACCGAATTGTGGGTCAGTGTGTCGAGGTGGCATGTTCAGGGTGGGGACAAAGGGCCCACGGTCCTGTGGAGACCGTTTACGAGGATGTGCCTTTCACACGTGCTCTGGTGAGAGCAGCTCTGGAAAGAGAAGCACCAAGATGCGGACGGACGTTATCGACTGATGGCTTTAGCAGCCCCGTAATCCCTTCTTTGATGTCCAGGGTCAATGCAATCCTGGTCCCATCAGGGCAACGAGGAGATTATGAGAAAGAATCTCGCTGTGATCTTTCCTGCAAAGGAAACAGCAATAAAATTTATTGCCCGGTCACAACAGAGGAATTCTTGTAAACGAGTACCTTTGTGGGGCTCTGCCCTCCACTCTGGGGAGAGGACTATGAGTGGAGGACAGGATGAGACCCAGGCCACATCTCACAGCCCTGAAAATGGGGTTTATAGCTGAACCACAGCCATTCGCCTTGCTCACACATGGCTGTGAAAGCCAGCGCTGTAACTTAGGCCTCATTCACAAGACAAGACACAAAAAAGAGAGCCTGTTTCAGACCTGCATTCACTCCAATTGCTTTCAGACAGTCTCAGCTACACTGTGACAGATGCGAGCACTGCCCGCGTCACGCTGTGCGGCGCTATGCGCATTCTGCCTTCAGGGGTGGAACCTCCTTCCTGAGGAGCCTTACGATTCTACCAACATCCACAACACAGGACCACATACAGATGGACGCCGCGGCTGCCGCTGGGGTCTGGTGGCCGGCGCTGCGGCCTGTCTTTCGGTGAGTGGAGTCCCAGCTCCTGAGCCTCTGGGCACTTAAAAACAGGAAGGCTTTTTGCTCGAGGGCTC